TAGAATAAAGATGTTTGAGCTGTGTAGGAAATGACTAATTGTAGAGTCACAACTGTTGCAAAAAAGCTTGGTCAAATAATGAGAAAATAGAAAAATGTGTTCTCCAAAAATGTGTGTGCAACTTGGTCATTCCATTCAGATAATCACTCTGAGGTATTTTGAAATAAGCACTTACTGTGATACAAGGATACCCTTGTAATATCTTAATATTAAATTTGCTAATTTCTCTTTAAATGGTTGCTTTAGTTGCTACATGTCATAAAGTCCTCCTGTGTCATGCATATATGTCTAAATATTTATTTTGTGTACTGGTTAGAATTATCTTGAGAACCCATGAAGATTGTTCTTTTCTTTTTTTTGAGAAAGATTTTTGCTATGTGGCATATGTGCTTGGCAGAGAGACAGAAAGCAAGAAATCACCAACCCCCTCCACCCCCCGCCAGGATGGCCACACCACAATCCCTTCTTCTGTATTCTCCTCCTGGGATTTTGGGTACCCCCACACATACGCCCAGCATGAATTTCAAGCCGCCAGGTCCAGGATTCGAACTTGGTCAACTATGGTCCAATTGTGGTCCAGTGATGTAACCATTATGCCATCTGCTGATCCTGAAGATTGTTTGTTTTGTTAAAATTATTATCATCCAAAAATGTTATAAAATGTTTAATTAGCTAGTCATAAACTAACTTTGTACAAATTGCATTAGATATGACCATGATATCTTAAAATTTAAAAGGTAAAGCCAGCAGATGGCGTAGCACTTTTGTCACTTGACTCCCATATGACTGATCACAGTTCCAGTCCTGGACCACGTGGCTTAAAACTCACACTGGGCACATGTGCATGTGTGTGCATGGACACCCAACATTCTGGAAGGAGAATGGAGAAGGAATTGTGGTGTTGCCATTTCCCCGGGGTGGTGGTGATTTCTCACTTTCCTCTCACTGTCTCTGTCTTCTCACTCCCCAGCAAGTGCATGTGCCCTAAGGCAATATCTTCTTAAAGTAAAAAAGGACGGCAATGTAAAAAGAAGCTTTAAAAGGAAGATAACATAACTAAATCATGACTGAAAGTATGAATAGGTGATAATTGTGAGAGTCAATGTGTATACCTAAGTAAAGGGGGCGAGTGAGGTTTACCACTCTTGAAGTGCAAATTGGGTTAGGATCGTACATTACAAAGGTTGGCAACCTACACCTGCACGTCAAAGATAATTATTGGTCTAGCAAGGGCTCTTACTGAATTAAATGTGCCCTTTGCTGTCTTCTCCCTTCTTTTTTTTTAATAATTATTTATTTTATTTATTCATTTATTTTCATTTGACCAGAAAGAGACACAGAGGATGAGAGAGAGAGAGAGAGAAAGTAAAACACCTGGTCCAGGACTCAAACAGTAGTTGTGTGGGAATGTTCAGCACCTTAACCCCCATGCCACCTACTGGTCCCATGTCATCTCCCTTCTTAAGAAGGACTGTCTTTTGTCTGCTACCTCTTCAACAGGTTCAGGTTCTCTGGTGCACTTGGGAACTGGCGCCCTAACACCGATTCATGAGTACCTTGATCTTTCCTCCCCAGTTTTGCACACACAGTAGTGAGGCTGAAACTTGGTGTGCTGCAAGGACTGCAAACTAAGAAACAGAACCAGATGATGGGTGGGTGGGGGGATAGAGAAATGGAAGAAAAGAAGGAGGGAGAAACCAGGGGAAAGATGGAGACGTGGAAGTGTGGGTACAGGGAGTGAAGGAGAGAGGCACAGATTATTTATTCATGGGATTTGAAGAAACATCCATGCCTTCCCTTTTGACTCGAGAAGAGATTTCTGCCACATTTTCCTCAAAGCAAACATTTTAAATTAATCTTATTTTTCCATAAAAGTAATGTGTCATACTCTTATAAAAATAAGAAAAAAAGCCAAGTCCACAAGATGTAATATGACCATACTGAAGTTTTGCACACACAGTAGTGAGGCTGAAACTTGGTGTGCTGCAAGGACTGCAAACTAAGAAACAGAACCAGATGATGGGTGGGTGGGGGGATAGAGAAATGGAAGAAAAGAAGGAGGGAGAAACCAGGGGAAAGATGGAGACGTGGAAGTGTGGGTACAGGGAGTGAAGGAGAGAGGCACAGATTATTTATTCATGGGATTTGAAGAAACATCCATGCCTTCCCTTTTGACTCGAGAAGAGATTTCTGCCACATTTTCCTCAAAGCAAACATTTTAAATTAATCTTATTTTTCCCATAAAAGTAATGTGTCATACTCTTATAAAAATAAGAAAAAAAGCCAAGTCCACAAGATGTAATATGACCATACTGAAGTAGGAGGCCAAACTCTAAAAGCAACAAATGGTCAGGGCAAAAACATAGTTTATATGGTGTCATGAATCGGACAGTGTTATTTGCCTCATATTTAAAAAATCCCGTAATATATACCAGCTTAGCGCTAATTAAGTGCTTATTGCATGCCACATACTTTCCTGAGAACTTTTCACATGTGTATTGAATTTTGAATTCTCACAGACACCCTGTGGGCTAATTACCGTATTGACCGTATTGCGGAGATAAGGTAACCGAAGACCGGAATGATGAAGTCATTTATTACAACCTCATTTGATTTTTATTGGAGAAGTGGTCATTCCAATAGCTGTGATCCATTTTCAACAGCCTGTATTTTTCTTTCCTTTTTTCTCCCTCTCTCTTTTTCCCCTTCCCTCCCACAAAGCACAGATTTACATGTCTATAATGAAAGACACTGTCCTGAACTCTAGTCTCAGAGAAATAATAAGACAGACACAGCCCCTGCTCTCCACAGGGCATAACATCAATTCTTTCACCATCTTGTAAATGAATTTTCCTTCATTTGAAATGATCCGGCTCTTTCCAAAATTCTTTGTCAGAAGAACTCATGGTATGAAGTAAGAGGAAACAGCAGCAAAGACAGCTCAGTGTTAGTTGAGGTGGTATTGATCAGAGATTCTGAATTTTGATTCTGCAACCAGATGGCTTATGTTTAAACCCAGTTCCATCTTAATAATCTTTTTAGCCTTAGCATATGTATTTTCAATGTCAGAGGGTACATGTAGAGGTGCAAGAGAAGGAGAGAGAGAGTACCCCTTCACAAGGGGTCCTGGTCATACCACAATCCTTTTTCCTCCAGTTCTCTGTCCCATCATCTCATGGGCATGCATGCGTGCATGTTCTCACTGAGAAAGCCACAGAGGCCGACTTCTGCACCTCAGGTGACCGTGTGGAATCCAGCTCCCTCTGCACAGTGCTTCTTACTCCCCTGCTGGGCCAGCCCCTTAGTTCATTTCTTAATTTCCCTATGTCTCAATTTTGTCATCTATAAAAGAAGAATAGTAATGACTGTCTCTTAGGGCTATTGATTTGATACTTGGAAAGCAAGAACAATATGCCTGGCACACTATAAATGAATTTTTTCTGTAATGAATTATTCTAAATCTAATATTCTTTCACTAATAAGTTATGTAAGAGAAGGTTACATAACTTTAGGTTTTGAGCTTTAGTAGATTTGAAGACAGAGTACTGATTAGTGAGTCTTGAAGAGTAAACAGCCCCAGTAAAAATGTTTAGAATGAGTAGGAAGAAGTCGGAGGTCATATTCCTTTATCTGCAATTCTTTAAGTTCACACACACCACCCATTCTGATGGGCAGACATGTTTGTTTTTTATTAAAAAAAATCTAAGGTTAATAAATCAATACTTAATAAAGTTTAATAGACAAAAAGTATTTAAAACATAAAAAAAAAAGTATTTAAAACATAGAGGCCAAGGATAAAAATAACAGGAAAATTGTTCATGAAAAGATTGGGAGCCACTGTTCTGGAACTTATATGAGTCTTAAAAAATTATCTAATGAGTCAAAAATACCAATCATGTCATGCACTAAGATACTATTACTCACTGCACATAATTTAGGAAGATCTCTAAATGCCTGAGTAATTATTAAAGATTACAGAATTTTAGAACAAGAGAAGACTCTAGAGATTAGTTTTATTTGGTCGATTGATTTTGGCTTGCGTAGTTATTAACTTTAGAAATGTAATCCCTCCTTGTCCTCATTCTCTGCAAATGTGCATCACAGAGGAAAGCGTCTTTGTAAAAGTCACCGTCCGAGACCCTGGTCTGTGGCATCATGGGACATTTTCATGTCTGTGGTGTTCCCTTTAGAGAGTGACAAAGCTATCTGAGGACCACATAGCATCCATCTGCTACACTGGCAAGTTTAAAATATTTTGAAGATTATGCCCTGAGCCGAACTTTCTGAAAATGCCTGTGTGACCCACAAAGATATGTGTGATACAATTTGATTTAAACTTTTTTAAAAGGAAATGAGAGGGACCAGCAGTTAGCATAATAGCTATGTCACTGGACTCCCACGTAGTCAACCATGGTTCGAGTCCCAGACCCAGTGGCTTAAACTCATACCGGGCACGTGTGCGTGCGTGCCAGGATCCCAAGAGGAGAATGGAGGAGAAAGGATTGTGGCGTGGCCATCCCCCCTGGGGGGTAATTTTTCACTATCTATCTCTCTGTCTCTGTCTGTCTGGCAAGCGCATGTGTCTTATAGCAAAAACCTCTCCCCCACACACACACACAAAAAAAAAGGAAATGAGAGAAGAAATTTCAAGAGTTATCAAGTTTTCTATAGGCAACTTTGTAGTTTTAAAGAGAAAAACGGCAGTTAAATTCATTGTATAGAGCTTGGCAGTTTCTCCAGTATTTGTAGAGTAAAAATGATGCATTTTGTTTGTTGAACTAGAATTTAAACAATTATAAAGGTATTTTTATACTCATAAGAGTATAAAATTGTCATTGTCTAAATATCCTCTAAAATTGGTGTTATGGAAAGGAAAAGTCGCTCAGGGGGTAAACAAAAGATACAGTGATACTTTATTAAAAGCACAGATATTACCCCAAATGAAAATGCAGACTTAAAGGTGCAACGTGAATGCCCTGACAGTCGGGATGGTCTTTCAGCTTCTACAGATGACAGCGCAGCTGAGAAGAAAGGGGGAACCCTCCACGCCGGCCTCATCGTTGGAATTCTCATCCTGGTCCTCATTATCGCAGCAGCCATCCTTGTGACAGTCTACATGTATCACCACCCGACATCAGCAGCCAGCATCTTCTTCATCGAGGTGAGTGTCAAGTGGAACACATAAAAGCCACACCAGCTGGTGAACCGTCGCCATGGGCTGCCACCACCTGTGTTTAATACTGAGCAATGATTTGCCCATTTTTCATCTTCCAGCTAGCTGATTTCACACACATGCACACACAGACATACTGAGTGATTGCTTTCACATGATGAGTTCAGTTTCCTGATCCCAGGAGCTTCTAAGGAAATAAGCTACCTTGCCTTTTACAGAGCTAGAGGAAAATAGGAACCATATTATTTTTATCCTATTTTACCGGATACATTAACCAGCTGTTCTCCTGATTCTAGAAAGAAGTGATGCTTCATATCTGAAGGCTGAAAGGCTGAGCTTAAATCAAATGATCAATACTACTAATTGAGTATTGACTGTGTACATGATATAATATGGCAAGCCTGCTCTCAAAATGCTCACAGCCTATCTAGAAAAACATATCATTATTGTTATAAAATGACAGATGTGAAATAAGATAATGGTATATGCTACTGGGTCTCTGGGAAAGTTATGACATATTTTTTCCATGGAAAAAAAAAATGTGTCATGACTTTCCTGACCACCTAGTATTATTATTTTGCATAATGTGTATATATTTATACATTTGTATATAAGTGCATACCCACTCACCCATACCCTCCAAAGAGAGCACTATGCTGAACTGGTGTTACGTTCTCTTGTTTTTCTTTTTCTGTATTTTCAACTTTGCTATGGGGTATGTGTGCTCACTGGAGAGAGAGAGAGAAAATAAGAAAGCAATCCCCAGGAAGCATGGTGACACCACAATTCCTTCTCCGTTTTCCTCTGAAGACTTTGGGCACACACACACTTGCATCTGGCATGTTTTTCAAGCCACCAGGTCCAGGACTCCAACCATGCAGTCAGCCATGTGGGATGCAGCCACCTTAACCACCATGCCACCCACTGGCCTAGTGTTTATTTTTTTTGTACAATGTCTAGATTTAGTGCCAACGTACAAAAGCAAATAGGTAAGAGGCCCAGGAGCTTTTATGAAGGGGTAGCCCTCATATCCAGAAGGCTGAAACTGGAAGCCTAGAGACCACGGGACAGAGTTAGTATGACTAAGGCCCCCCCCCGTCTCTCACAGAGGTTCGGTTTTTTGAGTCCCTGAATATACAGCTTTCTCCCTAACATCTTTTTTTATTGTAGAGAGATTTTTACTATAGGACACGTGTGCTCACTGGAGACACAGAGAGAAAGTAAGTAATCACCTTCCAGGGGGATGACCATGCTGCGATCCCTTCTTCTCCTCTCGGGATTTGGAACATGCATACACATAAACCCAACGTGAGTCCAAGCCTCTGGGTCTGGATTCAAACTGCAGTCAGCCATGTGGAAGTCCAGCTTCTTAACCACTACCCCACTGACTGGCCCCTCTCCCTAACATCTTAATGAGGCTACATCTCTGCCATCACCAAAGGATACTAGAAATACTAGGCTGACAAAGGATATCTTCCCTTGCAGGGTTTTACATAGGTAAGAGTTTCATTCTAATTCATTGCATGATATGCAGAAAGATGATTCATTGAGTGAGAAATGTCTTTTAAACTACAGAGTTAAAATCACCTTTGCCCCCCCGTATTAGGAGGGGTAATGACAAATCAATTAAATAATTGTTCTGAAGTTCTCTGTGGCTCTCCTGTCTGCAGAATAAAGCACCTCCCCTTATATGAACATTCAAGGGGTTGGAAACCTCAGTCTCCTCTGTCACCTCCAATGTTATCACACAGCCCCCAGCCTGGAGCAGGTGCCGCTGTTAAATTTCCCTCTCTGCTTTTCTGCACACACATCCTGAATTCTCCATGTCTCAAGACATTGCTCATTTGTCTTCTTTACTAAGAAAACCTTCCCCTCCCACCTCAGCTCTTGAATTCAGGAACCAAAGAGCCTTCCATGTCATGAACCCCATAAGCTGCCCTAGACCATCTTCCTTTCTGGACAGCTGGGCGTAATCTTTTTCCCCTCTGAAATACTCTCTGTAGGAATACACCACTGCCTTTCTCTGGCATGTATTGTTCTGTTTTACATTTGAGTTAAATATGTGCCTGATTTATTCCTCCCTAGAAGATGTGTAAGTTCCTTAAGATTTAGACTAAATGACAGTGTGTTTGTTTGGCTGGTTGTTTTCAAAAACAGGTAATCGACCAGCAAAATAGGTTAGAAATATCCACACTTGAGTGAAGTCTCATGTAAGATTTATTCCAGAAATGACATCCTCACTTAATGTCATTGTAATTGAACAATTCTCAGGCATTACACTTAGCTGCAAAGCTGTTAAGTTTAGTTGATATGTTTGATTTTTTTTTTTTTTTGAGAGAGGTTTTTTGCTATAGGGCACATGCCCTCGCCAGACAGACAGAGAGAGACAGAGAGATAGAAAGTGAGAAATCACCCCCCAGGGGGGATGGCCACGCCTCAATCCCTTCTCCTTCATTCTCCTCTCGGGATCTTGGGCACACACGCACACAGCCCAGCATGAGTTTTAAGCCACCGGGTCCGGGACTCAAACCTCAGTCGACTACATGGAAGTCCAGTGACATAACCATTACACTAACTGCTGGTCCCTGATATGTTTGATTTTTATAGTAGTAAGTACACAACTGTCCTGAGGTTATGAATCGATTCCTTTAAAAGCTGATGGGGGCCAGCCGAAAAGCTTCTGTGATCAGCCAGACTTATGGCACCTGTGTCTGCTAAGACCCTCACATGTATCAGCCTTTTAATATACTGTGAGCTTCTTTTCTCTGACATTGGGAACAAGAAGATCCTGTGAAATATCTGATGGTGTTGGTCTTCAGGGCAAAACTGCACAGGGCAAAAGACCTAGTTAAAGCTAGCTCATGGCAATTCCTGCATGACTGCAAGGTGAGATTGTTAAATAGTGAGAGCATCTTTTTTTTTTTTCTTTTGCATTTGAAGCTGGTTCTTTGTTTTAGATTTAGAGCCTGCATGTTTTCTTGCATGTGAGGTGTGCTGGTGGTTATCCATGCACACATATTTATAGAGTATTAGAGCTAGGAGAAATCTTAGAGATCATTCTGTACCTTCATAACACAAGGGAGAGACAGGCTCAGAGGGGGAGACTTACTAATTATGTAAGGTCAAAGTGTCCTAAGTGTAAGAGCAGCTCTTTTTCATCTCCCCACTCTTAAGTGAAGCAGACTCACTCCACAGATTCCCCAGCCTTTCTCTTCTCTGCCTCTTTCCC